CTCTTCCACAGAGCCAGGGCCTCTATCCAAAGAGGCGAAGGTCTCAAGGAGGCCCTTGGGTTAGAAGAGGCCTCCTTGACCGGGAGAACGTCACCACCGTTAGCTGAGCAGAGCGGTCAGATCCTGTCCACAGAATGGGTTTCGTGTGCTGTTTACAGACCGGCTCAGGGGAAAACACTCTGGAGCAGAATAAGGCCCTCTTGGGCCAGGTGGGCGTGAAGCCAAAAAACTAGTCCTCAGAAGCTAGTATGAATGGTCGTGTAACTGGGGCATTTCTGAGAAGTCACCTGGGTTTAAGGAACGTGCTTTATTTCCACCACCCCCCCTTTTCATCTCGCTCTAGAGTATATCGACACTACAAACTCCCACGGACACCCCCTCCCCCAGGACCTTGTTTCCAGTCACCGCAGGGGTCCACAACATCTTTGAGCCTGCAGACGCCTTTGGAATTCTGACCCTGCATGGTGGGTAGGGCTGCCAGGTCACTGAGGGACGCTCTAGCATTCAGTCTTAAAACTCTATAATACGATAGAGTTTTAAGGTCAACCACTAGAGCGTCCCCCGACGACATGCCTGGTGTGATAATGTCACCTGGAAATGACGTCGTCATGCCGGGCACGTCATTGAGGGACGCTCTAGCGTTCAGTCTTAAAACTCTATGGTATGATAGAGTTTTAAGGTCGACCACTAGAGTGTCCCCTGACAACATGCCTGGCGCGATAATGTCACCTGGAAGCGATGTCGTCATGCCGGGCACATCACTGAGGGACGCTCTAGTGTTCAGTCTTAAAACTCTATGGTACCATAGAGTTTTAAGGTCGACCACTAGAGTGTCCCCTGACAACATGCCTGGCGCGATAATGTCACCTGGAAGTGACGTTGTCATGCCGGGCACATCATTGAGGGACGCTCTAGCGTTCAGTCTTAAAACTCTATGGTACCATAGAGTTTTAAGGTCGACCACTAGGGCGTCCCCCGACGACATGCCTAGTGTGATAATGTCACCTCTGGTTGACATCATTGTGCCAGGCACATCAGCCCGATTCAGGCCCTTTGGGGATGGAGTTCCCCCCGGCGGCCAGATCTGGGCTGGTGTGTTGGGGGACCCTAGAGCAGACCAACCCCCTCCCCTTAGTGGTGGGTGCAGCCACAAAATGGGTGCCTGCAGGAGGTGGAGCCAGCCACAAAATGGCTGCTGCAGGAGGTGGAGCCGGCCACCAAATGGCTGCCGCAGCCTACTTTCCAGTCACACAGTGGAGATCCTTGCGCTGTGGTGACAGCTGCTGCCAAAGCAATGGGTTTTTTTTTTTTAAATGCATAGCCAATCAGAAGCCTTGCTGGGCAAAAGCCCCACCCGGCCCCGCCCACTTCCTAAAAGCTTTCGGCAGGTCCCTGGAGAGGTGTCTGTGGAGACACTGAGGACCCCCAATTGGGAGTGTGGGTGGTCTTTGGGGTCTCTCCGGTGTGGCTGCAAGACTTGGTGCCGTTGGGTTTTTTCCACCCTGGCTCCCGTCAGCAGCCTTTGGCCGCCCGCTGACAGCTCTGGCTTTTGAACGCTCGCCTCCCGCCCGCCAGACGCCAGGACCGTGCGGCTTGCTGGCTCTGCCGCCTCGTGGCGTGACTCTGCTTCCCAGTCGGACTTTGGCAGCCACTTGCCAACATTTTCCCTTAGAGGGGTTTGCTCCAAAGCGTGTTTAGTTTGGGCCTCTTTGCAATATTTTGGGTCGGCCACTCTGCTTGCCTTGGCCGTTTGGGCTCGCAAAGCCTTCCGCCCACTGAAGGGGCAGTCTGCTTGGGGTCAGGTTGCCAGCAATGCTCCCTCTAAGCTGTGGAGTCCTGTGAGCAAAAATCCTACTTTGTGAGCTACCGGCATGGAAGTTGTGAGTGAGTGGTTTGGCTGCTGCATAAATGAGTCTGCTCTGGATCTTGTGAGCAAAAATCCTACTTTGTGAGCGACCGGCATGGGAGTTGTGAGTGAGTGGTTGGGCTACTGCACAAATTAGTCTGCTCTGGAGCCCTCCTTCCTGAGCCAAGACAAAAATGTGTGAGCCGGAGGCTAAAAAACTGTGAGCTGGCTCACACTGACTCAGCTTAGTGGGAACGCTGGTCACGATAAGAGGTTTATAAAATTAGGGTCTCACAGATCAGGTGCTGTCTGGATTAATGCATTTTACTGAAGGGGGGGCGGGTATGACAGAGAAAGCAATCAATACAAAGCAGCCCAGAGACTTCACTGCCGGCGAGGACTTCCATCCCAGGTCCCAGACCGGGATGCTGGGTAGCACTGGCCACTTCGGACGGAGGTGCCATGCGTCTTGCAAAGA